TACTGAGAAGTGACAGTAGGTATTTGGCATGAGCAAATTCTGTTTCCTTTGCCAAGAACTGTCAGAACTGGAGTTATTCTCAATAAAGGTGAGGGAAATACACCGTTGCTTTGGCTTCTTTCTGGTGCCCAACAATTTATCCACAGGATGAAAGCAGGAAGGCATGTCCCACGGGTTCTTGAGTGTTCGCCAGGAGGCCATAAGGCCTGCAAGCTTTTACTTTCAAAAGGGACATGTTTAACAGCCTTTGCTATGGGATAGAAACCAAGGGCCAGGCCCACTCCATGTAGGAAAAAAGTGAACTCCGTCTGCTGGCCATTACTGGAGTTGACTGAGTAAGGAGGTCGTGAGACCTCAGAAAACAATAGTGTGAGAACAGTCTCCAGGGCTGTAAACAAGGAAAAGGAGGGGAAAACATAAAGTCAATCTTAGCAATTCTTGCAATACCTCTTCTTTGCAGACTATTGGATTTATGTTATTGCACTCTTGGTGTTATCTATCTTATGTATCTGATAGTTTTTATGGATTGTTTTGAGTTGTAAACTCCTGTACACTTTATTAAAATGGACCTAATTAATTTATTTACACCGTGTTTTATTTGTTAAATCCGGCCTTCCTAGGATGAAAGGAGTCCCTGTGTCACTTAATAGAAAAATCTAGTAATACATTTTTACTATGCTTGAAGAGTCCAGCATCAACGTAAAGAGGGAAATCTTAGAGGGAAAAAATGAGCCCAAGTTTTTTTAAAGATTTATTTTTATTATTTTTTCATTGGAAAGGTGGATATACAGAGAGGAGAGACAGAGAGGAAGATCTTCCGTCCGATGATTCACTCCCCAAGTGAGCGCAACGGGCCGATACTAAGCCGATCCGAAGCCAGGAGACTCTTGGCGGGTCTCCCACTCAGGTGCAGGTTCCCAAAGCTTTGGGCCGTCCTCGACTGCTTTCCCAGGCCACAGGCAGGGAGCTGGAAGGGAAGCGGGGCTGCCGGGATTAGAACCGGCGCCCATATGGGATCCCGGGGGTGCAAGGCGAGGACCTTTAACCACTTGCGCCACCGCGCCGGGCCCAAGCCCAAGTTTTTAAGAATCCATAGGGTGAAAGAATCTGTCAGTCCATTTGAAATCTGTAGCCCAGAGCCAATACTGTAATGTAGCAGGCAAAGCTGCCACCTGTGACAGCATTGTCCCATGTGAGTACCACTTGGGTCAGTCCCAGCTGCTCCACTTGTGATCCAGCTTCCTGCTAATCTTCCTGGAAAACTGGTGGAGGTGGCTTAAGTGCTTGGGCCCCTGCACCCACAGGGAAGACCCATATAGAGTTCCAAGCTCCTGGCTTCAGACTGACCCAGTTCTGGTCATTTCAGGAGTGAACCAGTAGGTGGAAGTTTGGTCTCTCTTCTCTGTAACTCTGCCTTTCTATTAAAAATAAATAAATCTTTAAACAAAGAGGAATCTGAAAAATGGTAACAGAGGCCTGGGGCTGAGACAACCGTGACAGGGGAATCCAGGAATAAAGAGTGGAATTCAGTTAGTGTTGGTTTCTTAGCAGGGACAGACAGTGGGACAGTACCTTTGCAATGTGAGGATACCAGCAGGGGAACAGCAGTAGTTGGGTTACGGTGAAGTGCTCCAGCGGAGAGGCTGAGCCTGGGTAAGGACAAAGCCTCTTCTGCTATAGGAGGGAGGAAGAACTTCTCTACTTCCTTAGGGGGGTGTGGCAGGGGAGGGAGACTGAATTATACTGACAAAGATTAGTAAAAGATGCATGCATGTGCAAACATGAAAGCTCACAGAAAAAATGGGGCCTGGAGAAATGGGCAGGATTTGTATTTTTTGGGACCAACACCATGGCACAGTGAGTTAAACCACCTTCTGCAACACCAGCCAGCTGCTCCATTTCTGATCCAGCTCCCTGCAGATGTGCCTGGAAAAGCAGCAAAGATGGCCCCAGTGTTTGGGCCCCTCATCCATCTGGGAGACCTGTTTTCTCACTTCAGACTGGCCCAGTATCAGCTACTGGGACCAGCAGACAGAATCAATCTCTCCCTCTCCTTTTCCTTATCTCCCTATCTTTCAAATAATGTAAGTCAAAAAATTACTTGGGTATGTCTCAATAAAGGAAGGAGCAGGACAATGTGGTGATATGACTTTTAAGAAAGATCAACAGGTCCATAGAGGAGATATAGGATCATCTTTGTGAAAATATTTGTTGAGGTTGTTTCTTCTTTCAATTTGTATTTTCATTATATGTGAAAAGCAGAGATAAAGCTATCTTCCATATGCTAGTTCATCTCCAAATGCCCACAGCAGCTGGGGCTGGCCAAGCTCAAGCCAGGAGCTTGGAATTCTGCCTGGGTCTCCCACATGGGTGGCAGGGAGGCCGGCTAGAGCAGAACTTACTCAGCTCCGCCCTTCCCATCCTGACAAGCATCCAGCTCCCAGCCAGTGTGGAGGCAGGATCTGGGAGGCTGGACCATAACTGCAGAAGAACCCCCTGCTGCCCTGCTGGGGAAGTCCCAGCTGCTGCATGCTCAGCAGAGCTCACTATGACCCATCTGCAACTGTCCTGGGAAGGTGGAAGTATGCAGCAGCTAGCAGTACCAACATAGAACACTGACCTGGGCACAAACTGACATGTCATGGGCTAAAAGGGGGACTTGCCAGAACTGCAGACTCGGTGCAGATCAAAGAGCCTGTGCCAAGGGGAAACTATCAGGCCTCTCAACCTCAAGAAAGCACCTGTTCGTTTCCCCCAATAAACCCTGTCTGAGCTGGTACTCTCTGCAAGTGAACCAAAGAACCTGAGGTTGATAGCAACAGATTCGGCTATTTGCACCATTGTTGCTGCTTCTTGGGTGTGCATTAGCAGGAAGCTGGATCAAAAGTCATTGGGCCTGGAGCCCAGGCACTCCGATACCGGAAGCAGGCATCCCAAGCAGAGACAAAACCACTGGACCAAACACCAACTCCTGGTTCTTGCCCTGATACTGACTTCTGCCTGGTGATCACTGGCAGCCCTCCCCAGCTATGAAAGACAGTTGGATTCTTTGAGGGGACTAGGAGAGGTCAGGGAGGGTGGGGAGGAAGTCTTCCTGGATCAATGTTCTGGATTCCTGCAGCACACAGAAGTGTCTACAATCGTGCAGGTGTGGGTAACTCCCTCCCCAAGCCCACGACACCACCGCTACACCACAGCCCCTAATCTGTTTCTCTGTCCTCTCTACCTTGAAACTTGCCTCAATTCTCACAAGCCCATCTCTCAAATCTACAGTCTAAGTTCTATTGCAAATAGTGTATGCTTTGTTCCCCAGAATTCTTTTATTATAAAAATGTTTGGGGCTTTTAAAGACATTAGGCCTAAAAATTTGAATAAAATTGAATTTAAGCTTACTTTGGTGCAACCATTTTTGAAATCATTTTGGTTCTTGCTGACTTCAGCCCTTTTCTGTCTGGGAAACCAACCTTTGCTGTACTCAGCCCACTAGAACACTCGTCCTGAGGGGTGGGATGAAGTGTTGCCCAATTCTAGAATGAAAAATAAAGCCAAGGTCATCCTCTGCCCTGTGGTGCTGCCATCCCATATGGGTGCCAGTTCGTGGCCTGGCTGTTCCACTTCCCATCCAGCTCCCTGCTTGTGGCCTGGGAAAGCAGCAGAGGACGGCCCAAAGCCTTGGGACCCTGTACCCACGTGGGAGATCTGGAAGAAGCTCCTGACTCCTGATAAGCTCAACTCTGGCCATGGCAGCCATTTGGGGTGTGAAACAGCAGATGGAAGACCTTTTCTTTGTCTCTCTCTCTTCCTACCTGTCTCCCGCTCTCTCTCTCTCTCTCTCTCTGAAATATGTCTTTCAAATAAAAATAAAAATCTTGAAAAAGGAAGTATCTGCAAGCTACATTGATGTCATTGTTTCCCTTTACACTGAAGGAAGAACAAGAAAGTGGTTGAGGATGTGGGGCAAGGCAGTATCTTGAGAAGAAATCTCTAGAAAAATCAGGAAAGACTGTGTACCAGGGTCCATTCCTGCTTGGGAACATCACACTTTATACTTGATACACAGCCTAGAATAAAGACAAAGGTCTAGAACTGAAGTGGAGCCAGTGATTGGAAGCTGACCCACCAACTGCCCTCAGTAAACTCGACACACGGGGTGTGCAGGCGCAGGCCAGACCACGAGGGCCTGTTTACTCTAGAAATCAAGACTGAGGTATACAAAGCTTCAGGCACAGCGGTTCTCACAGCGTTCTCTGCGTCACAGTCTATCAGCAGGACTTGTTAACAGTTCACAGCCTCTTCTATAGAGATTTAAAGTCAGCGCTTCTGAGTAAGGCTGAAAATGAATCAATCTTTATGTTTAGTCCATACTTAATAACACACCTAACTACCATTATCCTAGGAAACATTGGCTGTATCCCTGGAAGATTCTGGAAGCGTAGTTCATGGGCTTTTGTACTTTGCTTTGGAATCCAGTAAAATATTCATGTCTATCCGGCGAAAGGCTGTTTAACACAAGCAAGCCCAGTCCACAGGATTAGCAGCCACGCCGGTGCAGCCCCCATGGGAGGCGAGCAGGAGAAAGGAGTAAAAGTTTCAGGAGAGATGTTTTGCAGAATTCCGGTGACCTGCCACCGAGTGGGGTGTGGAGAGGAGCAGGGTCCCTTAGAGGGAACGGGGCACTCGGGCAGCGGAACAAGTACTAGAGAGAAACCCGGCTAGAAGAAAAGGAAAGTACGACTCTTCACGCACGTGCGGAGCACGGCGAGGCCCACCGAAAGCGTCTTCTCAAGCCGAGCACAGATGCTTTTCCCTTCCTTTCTCTCTTCCAGTTCCCCTTTCCCCTTCTCAGGCTCAGGACGGGCGCTCGCAGGCTGACGTGCTCGCAGCAGCACCGCCCGCGGCCTGCAGGGTGCGCTCGTCCCAGTGCTCGCCTAGCTCCCGGCTGGCGTGCGCCTGCGCAAGGCTTCTGCCACGGGGCCAAGGGGCGAGGCCTGTCCACGCTTGCGCACTCCTGGACTAAGATGGCGGCGGCGGCCCGGCGGGTCTGGGGAGCTGCGGCTGCTGCCGCGGGGCTGCGCGGTCGGTAGGTGACGGGTCCGGAGCTCCGAGGAGGGGAGTCTGTGAACCTGTGCCGCTGAGCGGTCGCCGCCTGGCCGGTCCTCCCCAGGTGGGGGGAGAGCTGTGCCTCTGGTGCCCTCCCCCATCGCCGCAGTGGGGTCAGCGTGAGGGGCACGGCAGTGGCTGGACGGCGCCACGCGTCGGGCCCCGGCGCTCGGGGGGCTGGCCAGAGCCCGGCTGTGGACACATTGCAGGGTGCATCAACACGAAAACAGCATGCACATCAAAAGGAGGAACATACCTGCTCACTTCCTCTGCCTGGCCCAGGGAGGGGAGGAGGGACACGTCCAAAGCCACACAGCTTCCAAGACTTGGGACTCCAAGGCGAGAGTCGCATGTGTTCTCGCTTCCCTGTCCCTGCCTTGGAGTTTTGCTTCCTAAAGGCACCTGTCAGCATCAATCAGAGAATAATGGAGGTGTCTCACCCCGATTTTTCAGTATTGATGCTCTGAAGTTCAGATTTGTTTCTTAGTGTTGATAGTTAGCCCTGTGTGCCCTTCAAGATATCTCAGTAATCAGTCCGCTGCCTTTCCCCGACCGGAGGGACATGAAAACTGACCTTCCAGAGTATTCCCAGAGAGACTTAAGGAGTGAGATAAAGGTGTTTCCACTGGTCGTTTGTGGACCTCCTGTGGTCATGGTTTCCCTTTATGGAACTCTAGCCTCAGGACCTGGCACTGCCTTCAGCACCTCTTACGGGCACTAGGTGCAGTCATCCCAGCTTTGATGAAGTGACTGTGAGGAACGAGGCCAGAGTGCTGGTAGCTGGGGACATAGGAAGGAAGATGCTCTCATCCTTTAATAAGCTTGCAATCCGATGGAAAAAAAGATACTGATAAAATTATGAGACCTGTACTAGGGTCATATAATTTAAAGTAGTGAGCACAGCCAAGGTGGTCTCTCATTCCAACTGTGGTTACTTCCCCCGTCCCGGCTGGTGTCACCCCGAGTGTGGTCGCCTCCCCCGCCCTGGCTGTGCTCACCTCTTGAGAGGGAGGTGGTCAGGGCTTCATGGATTGCATGATTCCCTGCCCCGTGTGGTTTCTGTCATGTCACTGGTGCTTATTCTTTGTGAGTACTCGGTGCCAGTCCTTCCTTCAGTCTGTCCAGTAGCATCTTGGAAGCTTTCTGTGGTTATAGTACCACAGTGTCCCAAGACAGGGGCCTTCTGTGTATAAATAAAATGTAGGGATTACTGAAGGTCGGAAAAAAAGTTCAGTAACCTGTAAGCTAGTGAATCGATGCTCACTCTTCCTTGTGACAGCAGTCTTCTGTCCATCATCACTTCTGCCTGTAACACAGAAGCGTATGTGTGTGTGTGTTTTGAGGCTGTGACAGGCGTGTGGCCCAGCGGCTGGGATGCCTGCATTGCCTGGCAGAGTGCTGGGGTCTGACCCCATCCCCAGCTCCTGCCTGACTTCAGCTTCCTGCTAAGGCAGAGCCTGGGAGGGAGCAGCATTGGCCCCAACACCTGGGTTCCTGCCACTCATTTGTGGGTTGAACTCCTCACTGCTAGCTTCAGGCAGCCTGCTCTAGGCCAGACCCAGCATTTTGGAGATTGAACCGGTGGGGGAGCATGTACACACACACGCTCTTCCTCTCTGTCAAATAAGTTAACCATTTTTACATGTGCTTATATGTATGATCACAAAAATGACGTCAGTGCTTAAAAGTCTTCAATGGCTTCTGTGAAATGCCAGTTGTAGTGGATAACAATACATTAAAAACATTTAATATGTTTGTATGAAAGGCAGAATATGTTCTGTTTGCTGTTTACTCTTCAAACGGCCACAGTGAAAGCCAGGAGCGAGGAGTTCCATCCCAACGCCTGTGTGGAAGGCAGTGCCCATGCGCTCAGGCCACCCTCCGCTGCCTGTGCAGGCACGTTAGCATCAGAAGTGGAGCAGCTGGCATACACACAGGAGCTCTGTGTGGGAGACCAGTTTTGTAGGCGGCAGCTAAGCTCACTACCATTGCTAAGCTCCTGCAGGCCCCACCAATATTTTAAACTGATTTTAAAGTAGCTTGCCGTCAGAGTTCTAGAATTCTTCACTATCAAAGCCTACTTTTATCCCTTTTCTGACTTTTATCATTTTTCTCCTTTTTCTGGCTTTTCCTCCTTTTGGTTTTCATTGGTCTGGGCCATGAAAATTAGCCTATTAATGCTTTTTAAAAAAATCAAAATGGGCCCAGCACAATGACTCAGTGGCTAAATCCTCACCTTGCACATGCTGGGATCCCAAATGGGAACTGTTTTGTATCCTGGCTGCTCCACTTCCCATCCAGCTCCCTGCCTGTGGCCTGGAAAGCAATCGAGGAAGGCTCAAGGCCTTGGGATCCTGGCTCTTGACTTGGGATCTGCTCAGCTGCAGTTGTTGTGGCCACTTGGGGAGTGAAACAGCGGATGGAAGATCTTTCCGTTTCTCCTCTCTGTAAGTCTGCCTTTCCAATAAAAATAAATAAACTTCTTAAATAATCATAATGAAAACTATGACACTTTGGTTAATGTTTCCTGTTATCAAGCACGTGGATGGTTGGCTGCTCTGGCGCTTGGGAGGACGTTTTAGGGAAGATTTTCTGAAGAATCGCCCCAGCAACCTTGAGTGGTCCCGTCCTCACCGGTTCCCCTTGGAATGTCTAGTGATCTGTTTTTCTCTCCTGTTCTGTGTCTTAAGGCAGAAAACAAGAGCCTCAAGCCCCATTCCTTAATTTGACAATGGGATTGGATATTGTGTATTGTGAGTTTTTTTGGGTGTTGGTGGTGTTTATTTTGTTCTGAAAGTATACAAAATAAAGATGATGTTCTTGTATAAATGTTTTTCCTGAAGAATTGAAGTACTTTTCAAGACAAGATGTGTGTGTTATATTTAGGGAAACATAGGGATACAGAACAGAAAATGAGGAAGCTTCTGTCTTTAAGTGACTTTGTTTTTTCATTTTACTTATAAGACAGAAATCTTCCATCTCCTGATTCACTCTCCCAAAATGCACACAGTAGCCGGAACAGGGCCAAGCTAAAACCAGGAGCCCAGATCTCAATCCGAATCTCCCACACGGGTGGCAGGGATCCACAAACATGAGCCATCTCCTGCTGTCACCAGATGCATGGTAGCCAGAAGCTGGAATCAGAAGTGGAGCCAGGACTCTGTTAGGGCTATGTACGTCCCAGAGCCGGGATTCACCGTGAAGACCTCTCGCATCTTCATGTGTCTTGCGTGACTATGACTTAGCTCTCAATTTTGTTAAACATGAAGTCAAAGTTCATAATTCTTTGAGTTCTTTCTTTAAGTGACTTTAAGCCAAGAATGTGGAGCTGTAGGTTGCAAATCACTATTACAGACACATTTCAGTTTCTCACTTCTGAATGTTACCCTGCCCTGTAGAGAGCAGAACTGTTTATTGAGGCGCTGCTTCCATTTGAGCAATAACTGCTTTCAAATAGTTTGTGGATACTGTGTGTGTAAGTGGAGAGGATATACATGGAAAATGAACGTTATATAATTATTTATTACTAGTTAATTTTATATGTTACATATGTCTAATTTTTACAAATAAGAAGTAACTGACTAAAAGATCAGCTCTCTTAAAATGTCGTTTACTGTTTTTTACAATGCAGGTTCCATCATATGATGATAAATCCATACACTGTTAAGAAACAGCCTTTGCATCAGTTTGTTCGAAAATCTCTTTCCCCACTACCTACAGCCTTGTGTAATAACACAGGTAACATTTTACCTTAGAGTGAATTCCGCTTCAGAGACTAACAGAACTGTGCCTTGCCCGTTACATGTGGAGTTGATGGACTCTGTTGGATAACAGAGTCATCTAAATCATCAGAATGCTAATATACAATTCTATGTAGTTATCCTAAATATTTTGATATATTTTTTCCTTGCCTTTATAAACTCTTATATTGTTAGTTGGACAGTAAAGCTTTGCTCTCTTTTATCCCATTTTCTTTACCACCTCTGTTTCTTTAAAAATGACCATAATCCATAAGCTTATGAACTACATTATTTCTAGACTAACATTCTTTCTTTTTCTCTTTCAGTGAGATACATGTTCATTCAAACACAAGATACCCCAAATCCCAACAGTTTAAAGTTTATACCAGGAAAGCCAGTTCTTGAGACAAGGACCATGGATTTTCCTACGCCAGCTTCAGCGTTTTGCTCCCCTCTGGCTAGGTATATGCTGTTTTCTTCCACTTTAGCAAATTACTGACTTTGGGGCTAATAGCTTTGTTTTGCTATTGCATTTTTATATGTACTGCATTTTTTCATGGTAGATAATACATGACTTTATTTATTTAACTACAAGGTAAAGAAAAATAACACTTGATTTTAGGGGCCATTGTTGTATGGCATAGCAAGTGAAGCTGTAAGCTGTGACGCCAGCATCCTATATAGATACCCATTTGTGTCCCAGCTGCTCTGTTTATGATCCTGCTACCTGCTAATGACCTGGGAAAGCAGTGGAAGGTGGTCTAACTGCGTAGGTCCCTATACCCACATGGGGGACCAAGGAGAAGCTCCTGTCTCCTGGCTTTGATCTCACCCAGAGCAGGCTCTTGTAGCCATCTGGGAGTGAACCAGAGGAGAGAAGATTCTCTTTCTTTCTCTGTAACTTTGACTTTATAAGGAAGTGAATATAAAACTTGAAAAGTAAATAAATTTGACTTTAGAAAACCCTTATCCTGAAGAGTACAGTAATTGAGAGCTCTATAATATGAATAAATAAAACTCTGTAAAAAAAAAAGATTTATTTATTTTTATTTGAAAGGTAGACTTACAGAGAGGAGAGACAGAAATGGAGATCTTCCATCTGCTGGCTCATTTTTTAAATGGTTGCAGTGGTTGGAGCTGAGCTGATCCAAAGCCAGAAGCTTTTTCTCAGTCTCCCATGTGTGTGCAGGTGCCCAAGGACCTGGGCTATTCTTTGCTGCCTTCCAAAGCCATAGGCAGGGAGCTGGATTGGAAGTGGAGTAGCCAGGACACCAGTCGTGCTCATATGGGATACTGGTGCCACAAGCAGAGGATTTGCATGCTGTACCGTTATGCTGGCCCCCCAAAGTCTGTATTTTTACTTGAGGGAAAAATTCATTAAATTGATAATCACTCAATCTTCAAAACATTTTTAGAAAGATTCATTTATTTATTTGAAAGAGTTTTGGAGAAGCAGAGGAAGCAGGGGTGGGGGAGAAGGGAGAAAGGGAGAGAGAGAAAATCTTTCGTCCATTGGTTCAGTCCCAGAAAGTTGTAATGGTCCTAAGCCAGAAGCTGCATATAGCTCTCGCATGTGGATAGCAGGGGCCCAAGTACTTGGGCCATCTTCTGCTACTTTCCCAGGTGTGCTGTCAGGGAGCTGGATCAGAAGTGGAGTAGCCGAGACTCCCAGTGGCCATTATGGGATACCATTGTGGCCAGAGGCAATTTAACCCACTGTGCCACAATGCTGATCACAGCATGATTTTTTTTTTTGATGAGTCAGTGGGACAGTTTTTAAATTTATTAGATAGAAACCTGTATAAATATATGCCAGAACTAATCAATTATGACATTTTTGGAATGAACCTCCCACGTGGGAGACCTGGAAGAAGCTTCTGGTTCCCAGCTTCAGGCCGGCTGAGCTCTGGTCTTTATAGTTATTTGGGGAGTGGATGGGAGAGCTCTCTGTCTCCCTTTTTCTCTCTGTAACTCTGACTTTCAAGTAAAATAAGTAAGTACTTTTAATAAATTTTTTAAAAGCCACAAAGCAGCAGTGACCAATGTTGTAGGATTTGAGAGGCACTATTGAAGGGCATTTTAACTTTGCACTTAGAAAGGTTTATGTCAAGAATGCATTTGCATATTTTATGTTTAGAAAATATAAAGGTTAAAAGTTTCCTGGTTAATTCAGTTATGCTTCTTTTGGAGAGTACTTCTGTCAGATGTTCCATTGGCAAAGGCCCTTCTCAGATGACCTTTTGAAAATAGCCTATTTCCTGGACACAAAATGTATTCTCTTCAGTCAAGCGAGGGTAATGTTAGTTGAGAATGTTTTTGCACTGAACTGCTGTGTCAACTTTCCTGTTGTGGGACCAGTCTTTCCTGCTCCTCAATTGTATCACTGGTGTTTATACAGTGGCTGATAATTCCAATGGTATCCAATTATTTGTTAACTAAATAACTGAATGAATACATTAGCAAGGCGTTTTACTTCAGACGTGAGAGTCATCTTGGTGCATGTCAGTAGTTCATTCCTCTTTGTTGTCAAGTAGTGCTACCTTGCACGCATACACAGTGTGTTTTGTCGTTCACCTGTTGATGGATATGTCGGGATGTGTAAGTAGCAGTTATAGATAAGGCTACTGTAAAGATTCATGTACAAGAAGGTGGGCGTGTGTTTTTGCTTCTCTTGAGTAAGTTACTGGGAGTGGCATCACTAGATCTTGGCTTAAGAGGATGAGATTCCACTGAACATGAGGTGCCAACTGGTGGAGCTGCTGCTGACCACCTGGGTGTTCTTAGAGTTTTCTCTCTACTTCTGTATGTGTTTAAACTCTCCCATAACAGAAAATTTTGTAATCTATCTATTTTTGATTCACAGGCAGTTGTTTCGAATCGAAGGAGTAAAAAGTGTGTTCTTTGGGCCAGATTTCATCACTGTTACAAAGGTATACATGCGGTTATAGCAAAGGCTTGAATTAAGTTTAGTTTTATCTGAGTCCAATTCTTGCCCTAGAATATCTGTTCTTTGGTATATTGCATTTATTTATATTAATATACTGCTAACATTTGCTTTTCATTTTTGTGAAATTTGATATATATATATAATAAATTTATCACAATTAATTGTATTGAATTTGCTTTGTTTTCTCTCACTTTGTTACTTGATTATTTTTCAAAAATTGCCTGCATCACTATATGTGTCCTGTTTTTCTCTAAATGTATATATGTATTTACAGCTTTTTTTTTTTAAAGATTTATTTTTATTATTTTTTCATTGGAAAGGCGGATATACAGAGAGGAGAGACAGAGAGGAAGACCTTCCGTCCGATGATTCACTCCCCAAGTGAGCGCAACGGCCGATGCTATGCCGATCTGAAGCCAGGAGCCTCTTCTGGGTCTCCCACGCGGGTGCAGGGTCCCAAAGCCTTGGGCCGTCCTCGACTGCTTTCCCAGGCCACAGGCAGGGAGCTGGAAGGGAAGCGGGGCTGCCGGGATTAGAACCGGCGCCCATATGGGATCCCGGGCGTGCAAGGCGAGGACCTTTAACCACTTGCGCCACCGCGCCGGGCCCCTATTTACAGCTTTTATGCTGACTTTATTATTATCATTCACACCACTAAAAATATTTTTAGTATCAGTTTTTTTTCTATACTTTGTAAATGACCATTTACCCTTCTTCCAAATAATTTATTATAATATTTCTTAGAACTTGTTGTCTCATTAATTTTACAAGATCTTATATCCATAACAGTGTTCATTTATCTTATGTTTTGTTTCCTGTCTCTGAATTGTTTTTGTTTGTTTGTTTTTAAAGATTGACTTATTTATTTGAAAAGCCGAGTGACAAAAAAAGATATCCTTTTTCTGCTGGCTCACTCCCCAAAAGGCTACAACACCCAGTCTGGGTCAAACTTAGTCCAGGAATTCTGTCCTGGTCTCCCGTGTGGGTGGTGGTGGCACAGGTCCTTGGGCCATCTTCTCTTGCCTTACCAGCCATATTAGCAAGAAGCTGCGTTGGAAGTAGAGTAGCTGGGACTAGAAGTGGCTCTCTAGTGTGGGACGCTGGGATTGCAAGTGGATGCCCACTCCGCTGTACCACAGCACCATCTCCTCTAAAATGGTTTTTTAGTATCATGATAAAATTAGTACAATTTGGACCTGCTGTGATGACTCCATTGGCTTATCCTCCCTCTTGAAGTGCTAGAATCCCATGTTGGCACCAGTCCATGTCCTGGCTGCTCACCTTCCCATCCAGCTCCCTGCTTGTGGCCTGGGAAAGCAACAGAGGATGGCCCAAAGCCTTGGGACCCTGCACTTACATGGGAGGCCTGGAAGAAGCCCCTGGCTCCTCGCTTTGGATTGGCTCAGCTCAAACCATTACTGCCACTTGGGAAGTGAACCAGTGGATAGAGGATCTTTGTCTCTCCTTCTCTCTGTAAATCTGCCTTTCCAGTAAAAATAAATAAATCTTTAAAACAGAAAATAAAGTTCATTTTTCAGCCTGCACTAGCTTGTAGGAAGCTAAGCCTCTGCCTGCAATGCTGGCATCCCTTATAGGTGTCAGTTCAAGTCCCAGCTGTTCTAGTATAATCCAGCTCTCTGCTGATGGCCTGGGAAAGCAGCAGAGATTCGCCCTACTCCTTTGTCCCATGCACAAACATGGGAGAACCAGAGGAAGCTTCTGGCACCTGGCTTCAGACCAGCCTAGCTCCAAACCATTGTGGCCATTTGGGGAGTGAACCAGCGGATGCAAGATCTCTGTTGCTCTGACTCTTCTCTCTGTAAATTTGCCTTTCAAGTAAGAATTAATAAATCTTTGGAAAAGAATACTATCATGTAGACTCAATTTGTAATAGTATTTACACGTGGGCCACAACTAAAAGCATCCTGAAAGTTTAAATAGACTGCACATGGTAGTTTTTTTCTTCCTGGAGAGCTTTCTTTTAAAAACTAAAATTAGCAGAATTTACCTTTATTTTTTCCAGGTGTTAGTACTGGCCAGATAACTGAGTAATCCTATCTGCTTTTATGGATGAGAAGCTTACAAAATCTCTCTCTTTTTAAGATGTATTTACTTTTTATTGGGAAGTTAGATTTACAGAGAAAAAGAGAGACAGAAAGATCTTTCATCCAGTGGTTCACTCCCCAAGTAACTACAATACTGAGCCCATCTGGAGCCAGGAGCTTCTTCCAGGTCTCCCACGCAGGTGCAGGGTCCCAAGGCTTAGGCTACAGGCATGGAGCTGAATGGGAAGTGAAACAGCTGGGACAGAAACCAGCGCCCATATGGAGTCCTGGCACATGCAAGGCAAGGACCTTAGCCACTACGTTACATGCAGGGCCTGAAATCTTTCTCTTTAAAAATCATTTATTTACTAATTTGAGAGTTAGAGACAGGTATAGGGAGCCCACTGATCTCCTCCGAAGTGTTCCTGTGTTTTGGCTGAAGCCTGGGCTGAGGTCAGGAACCAGGTACTCAATCCAAGTTTCCCACGGTTGGAAGACGCCCAACTGCCTTGCGTCGCCCTTGCTGCCTCCCTGGGTCCACATTAGCAGGAGTTGGGAATCAGAGCTGTGTGCTCAGATGAAGCAGGCCAGATGTCTGTCCCTGGAGTCTTTCTTAAATTTACGGATCTTGTTGACAGTTCACAAGTCCTCTGGCAGAGTATCCATGGTTCTACAATAGCATTATTGAATTTCCTCACTACTAATTACTATATCTAAGTTGAATGTTTTGAATAATTCTGGAATGTTCTGTATATTAAATAAAGATAATGGAAATCTCTTTATCATTCTCTTTAAAGACATAAGCTACTTAATGTTTACATTTTCTTTACATAATAGAAAAAAATCTTATAATATTTATTTCCTGTGCAAGACCTAGTACCTTCATAGCATTTAATTAAACTTGGTTGAGTGACTGAGTGAATGGAGGATGTTCTAATATTGTATTTTCTGAAAGTCATATAAGTGAGCCCCTCCAGAAGTGGGAACTGTTGCGCATTACAGGATGTATATAGAAGATTCTGGAACAATGTTAGATTGTGTTCTGTGCTTCTCTGTTGTTGGCTGAGAGGAAATGTCATTCTTTTTTAAAAATGTTTATAGGATAATGAAGAGTTAGACTGGAATTTACTGAAACCAGATATTTATGCAACTATCATGGATTTCTTTGCATCTGGCTTACCCCTGGTTACTGAAGAAACGTCCTCGGGAGAAGCAGGTATTATGTTGTATTTAATAACTAACATTTGGGGGCCCAGGGCTCACCTTGCATTTGCTGGGTGCTGGTTCTAATCCCAGCAGCCTTTCTTTCCATCCAGCTCCCTGCTTGTGGCTTGGGAGGGAGGACAGTAGAGGATGGCCCCAGGCCTTGGGACCCTGTACCCACATGGGAGACCCGGAAAAGGCTCCTGGCTCCTGGCTTCATATTGGCTCAGCTCCAGCAATTGCAGCTGCTTGGGGAGTGAATCAGCAGACTGAAGATCTTCCTCTGTCTCTCCTCCTCTATGTAGATCTGCCTTTCCTATAAAAGTAAATAAATCTTTAAAAAAATTGGGAAGAAATTCTTTTAAAAAAATTAATATTTAGCCTTTTATTTTAGCTTTGCTACTTTATTCTCACGTCTTATTCAGAAACCCTAGGAACACAAATACATATAACAGCTAGAGCTGGGCCAGGCTGGAGCCAGGAGCCAGGAGCTTCAGCCAGGTAGTCAGTGTGGGGGCCATTTGTCTGCTGCTTTCCAGGTGAATAAACAAGAAACCAAATCATAACCACAGCAGGACTGCTTTGGAAATGCACTAGTATGAGATATTGGCAACTCAGGTGGTTACAGGCTTTATGCATGGTGCCACAACACCCTTCCCCGGCAGACAGAGTTTCATTATTCAGTATATTTAGCTCTAGAACTTAGGTTTGGCAATCCAAGAGAATTTGAACATTAGTATATTTTATTTCTTTTATTTGAAAAGACTGAAAGTTAGAGGTGTGTGTTGCTATTTATTGGTTGCCAGCAGTCAGGTTATAGTGTAACTTGAATTCTCTGCATTTTTGATTTTCCCACAAGTAAATATATTTCTCTGTCACAAAGAATAATAGTTATTAGTGAAGATCAGTATATAACCCTATAAAGTAAAACAAAAACTAAAGAATATGAATAGATAACTTTTGTCAGCAGGCATTGGGCTGAGTAATTAAACTTCCTTTCAGATACCTGTGTTCCTTTGGAATGTCTAGGTTGAGTCCCAGTCCCTCTCCCCGGTTTAGCTGCCTGCACAGCACACCCAGGTAGACAGCAGGCACCGACTCAGGCAGTTGGGCTCTTGCCACCCAAAGTAGGAACCCCAAAATGAGTTCTCAGCTACTGGCTTTGGTTTCACCCATCCCCAGCTGCTGTGGGCATTTGGGGAGTGAACCTCTAGATAAGAGTTTGATAGATCAATCAGTTGATTGATCAGTTTGGCCATTCATCTTTCCATACCTCTCTGTCCTTGCCTTTCAAAAAAAAAATTCTTTTAAGTTTTTAAAGAAATTCCTACTTTTGTTCTGCTTTATAGAGCAGTTCAGAAATTTCCAGATGGCTTATATCTATATATACTATAATTTTCTTTTTAGAAGCAGCTAAATTGAGAAATTGAAAATGTAACTTAATATAAAGTAGGTGTGCTTTCTAAAAAACAAAAAGATTTATTTTTATTGGAAAGTCAGATATATGGAGAGGAGGAGAGACAGAGAGGAAGATCCTCTGTCCAATGATTCACTCCCTAAGTGACCGCAAAGGCCGGAGCTTGAGCAGATCTGAAGCCAGGAGCCAGGACCTCTTCCAGGTCTCCCATGCAGGTGCAGGATCAAAAAGTTTTGGGTTGCGCCAGGCCAAAGCCAGGAGCCAGAACCTGTCTCCTATGTGGGTGTCAGGGACCCAAATACTTTAGGCATCATCTGTTCCTTCCCAGGATGCATTAACAGGAAGCTGAGGATCCAGAACTTGAATTAGCATTCCAATCAGGATGCATCACAAGGGTAGCTTAACCCACTTAACAACATCTGTCCTGTGCTGTTTTAGTACATGTAGTCACATGGTTGTAAAATTTCCACTCTTGATAATTTTTGTAATCTTTCTAGGGTCAGAAGAAGATGATGAAGTTGTGGCAATGATTAAAGAATTATTAGATACTAGAATACGGTATGTCCCCTTTATATTTGAATTCAAATGCTGCAGAGGCTATTTTCATTGTAACAATTTAGATTTAGTTGTCTATGAGATTATAGTGGATTTCCACTCTACAGGTTAGCATATATCACCATAAGTATAAAACCTGTACTTTGTCTATATTTTCTTAAAATTTTGAAACACACCATCTTTTTAAACATGGGAAGAAATTTACACAGCCATTATTTCAATGTTGTTACAATACCAAATTTCTTAGAAAGGAAAAAAATATGGAACAGTGTGGGGAGGATTATGGAGAGAAAATGAATTGCTGTTTTCAGGCTGTTGCTCTTCAAAAATGAATTTAAATGAATGGAGAACAGCAGGCTTCCACTTAAGCTTGTAGCAGGCCATTAGTCCTGCTGAGAATTCTTAGGAAATCATGATAAAAATACCATTGTGCACATTGCCTTGAAAGCTGCCCAAAGCAGCTGTTGATTCAATAGCTGCCAGAACAGCCATGTTTTGAGATGCTGGGCCTCTGTTGAGAAGCAGCTCACTGAAGGTGCTCTTGGAACATTTGCTGATTTTTGGTGTAAACCTGTAGTAGCAGAAGCCGGGCAGAGGGCATCTACTAAGAATCAGAGAAACGAGGCTTCCTGAAACTTTATATAGAAAGGACGACAGAAAAGCACTGAGTTAAGTGCCCAAATCTCAGTGAGCAGGGAAGAAAGTATGTCTATGTAATTAATAGTATGTGTTATAGTCTCTATGTTTAAAACACAAAATTTTCTTTATTTGAAAGGTAGAGTTAGAGAAAAAGAAACAGATCTATCTGTTGCTTTGCTTTCCAAGCGACCACAACTGGGTCTAAGCCAGGAGGAAACCAAAAATTCCATCCCGGTTTCCCATGTGAATGCAGGAGTCCAGGACTTGGACCTTCTTCCCGCTGCTTTCCTAAGTACATTAGGATTAGGTGGAGCAGCCAGGACTTGAACCGGTACCCACATGGGATGCTGGTGTTGTGAATGGCAACTAAAATGGCTGTGCTGCAACACCAGCCCCATGTATTGCATTTTAAAAATCACTGACAGTAGATCCTCAGTCTTCTCAACACATAAAAATGATAAGTATGTAAGCTTTACACATGTGATTGTCTCAACTTGACCATTTCCCAATATGTACATGTTATAAAACATCAGGCTGTACATGATAAGTATGATAATTTTTGTCAAGTAAAAATAATTAATAGAAAAATAAGCTTAACACTGATAAATTGTCTTCATAAGGGATTTGCTTTTTCTTAGCTGCATAGAGAAAAAGGCTTAAGGAACCGAAAAGCACAGCCCAGTGCCATGGCGCAATGACTAAATCCTCACCTTGCAAGCTTAGACATCTAGAAAGATCCAAGTCCTTGCTTGGTCGGGCTTCCTGGAGAACTGTAGCTTTGAAATGAGGACACACCAGAGATAAGGTTCCCTGTATTGAGTCAGCTTAATTCCAGATGATTCCTTCTGGATGTAATATAACCCCAAGTCATATTGCCCATCATTCAGTCAGGAATTACTAGGTAAACTTAGAAAGTAGACTAACGAAAAATAAAACAGTTCCCCAGATAGCCTTATCTAGCTTGTCATCTATGTCTAAAACAACTGATTAGAATGTTCATGAATTAGAGGATGAGATGAGCAATTACATTGGAGAACTGAAATCTGTTTTTCTTTTTAATTCTAAAGCCAAAAAGTAAATAACTAGCTTAACTCATTAATTTAACATTAGATTGCACACAGTTGAAAAGTAGACTACCAAACAGAAATATATAGATGAAACACAGGAAAAAAGCATAAGTGACAAAGTAATAAGACAGATCTCTAAATAGACCTAGAATTGAAAGAATAACAAAGTACAAAAACTTGGTGGATGTAACAGGAGGTGTTAAAAAGGGTTGGGGGAGGGAAATATTCTAAGGTGTTGGCAGAATATTAAGTTACAGTAGAATCTAACAGATCAAATAGGTATCCAATAGGCTAAGCAATGAAGAGTAGCAAACAACTCTATAAAGGCGAGAACAATAATAATGTAATCAAGCAAAAAGAGTGCAAATAGGAAGTAAACAATACAACTGTGATTGAAATCCAAATGTATTAATACACTTTTTTTTTTTAAGATTTATTTATTTTTATTGCAAAGGTAGATTTACAGAGAAAAACAGAGACAAAGATCTTTTGTCCACCGGTTCACTCCCCAAGTGTCTGCAACAGCCGGAGCTGAGCCAATCAGAAGCCAGGAGCCTCTTCCGGGTCTCCCACGCGGGTGCAGGTTCCCAAAGCTTTGGGCTGTCCTCGACTGCTTTCCCGGGCCACAGGCAGGGAGCTGGAAGGGAAGCGGGGCTGCCGGGATTAGAACCGGCGCCCATATGGGATCCCAGGCGTGCAAGGCGAGGACCTTTAACCACTTGCGCCACCGCGCCGGGCCCTGGTTTGTGTTCTGGCTGCTCCACTTTCCATCCAGCTCCCTGCTTGTGGCCTGGGAAGGCAGTAAAGGATGTACAAAGCCTTGCACCCACATGGGAGACCTGGAAGAAGCTCCTGGCTCCTGGCTTTGGATTGGCTCAGCTCTGGACATTGAGACCACATGGGGAGTGAACCAGTAGATGCAAGATCTTTCTGTCTCTCTTTCTCTGTAAATCTGACTTTCCAATAAAAAAATAATGGCCCAACTGCGTGGGCTCCCATGTGGCCTACCAGGATGGAATTCTAAGCTCCTTGCTTTGACCTGGCCCATCCTAGCTCAGTGTCACCATTTTGGGAACGAACTAGTAGGTATATCATTGTGTCTCTTCTATGTCACTATAACTGTCTTTCAAATAAACAATATATTTTTAAAAATTGTTTTAATTCTTTCTTATAAAAAGATATCTTAAATATAAAAATACAGAAAAAAATTGAGAGAAATCAATAGCATTTAAAGAATAAATGGGAGAAAGCTTGTATTTCTATACAGAGAGAAGACAGAGTGTACCTTACAATAGTAAGACAAAGACATTGATAGACATAGAGACATTTCATGATAAAAAATATGTTTTTAAATTAAAAAATAGCTTATTTATTTGAAAAAGAGTAATAGAGATCAGAGATCTTCCATCCTTTGGCTCACTCCCTAATGCCCACAGCAGACAGGACTGCCCCAGGCTGAAGCACCTGGATCTTCCACAGGAGAGGCAGGAGCCCACGAACTTGAACCATACCTGCTGCTTCCCAGGGACATTAGCAGGAAGCTAGTTAGTATCAGAGGAGGCACTCCATCCCAAGTACTCTGATATAGGATGCAGACATTTTAGTGTCAGTTTAACCAGCTGTGCCGCAGTGCCTGCCCCCAAAAGATCATTTTTTTTAAAGATTTATTTATTTATTGGAAAGTCAGATATACAGAGAGGAGGAGAGACAGAGGGGAAGATCTTCCGTCTGATGATTCACTCTCCAAGTGACCACAACGGCCGATGCTATGCTGATCCAGAGCCAGGATCCAGGAACTTCCTTCAGGTCTCCCACACACAGATGCAGGGTCCCAAGGCTTTGGGCCGTCCTCGACTGCTTTCCCAGTCCACAAGCAGGGAGCTGGATGGGAAGTGGAGCTTCCGGGATTAGAACCTGTGCCCATATGGGATCCCAGCGCATTCAAGGCGAGGACTTTAGCCGCTAGGCCACACCGCCGGGCCCCAAAAGATCATTTTTAACAGGAACTCGTACTAGTGGAAGACTTGTATGCAACTAGTAACACAAACTCAAATGAAGAATATTGGGCAAAACTAAAATGAGATTTAGATTATCCGTGGTTGTACTGGAAGTCTAACATATCTAGCAGTAATAAATAGTACAAGCCCTGAAGGTAATGACAGTAAGAGAATTTTGAATGTATAAGTCACAGAATTGACTAAATTTACATATATATAGACTGTTACAGTCAGCACAAATGATATTTCTAAGTATATCTGGAAGATGTGCAAAATAAATTAAATGCTGGATTATAAAATAATCCTTAACAAATATTAAGTATAAAATTACTGAAAATAAATTTGTCTAACTATAGTGGGATTACGCTACACATCAATTATTAAATAGTAACTTGTTTCTTATCATTTGGCTAAGATCAAGTTATTAATAACAATAAAATTTCCATATATTTGGAACCTAAATAATGCTTTTAGAAAAAAGAGCTATGAGAGGGAAAAGTACATTGCCACAGCAGGCTAATGCAGAGGCTCTACCTCTGGCACCAGCAGCCCATAGGGGCACCAGTTCTAGTTTTGGCTGCTCCATTTCTGATACAACACCCTGTTACTGGCCTAGGAAAGCAGCAGAGGATGGCCCAAGCTATGGTTCCCTGCACCCACATGGGAGATCTGGAAGAAAATCTTGGCTCCAGCTCAGCTCTTGCTGTTGCAACCATTTGGAGAGTGAACTCATGCATGGAAGCTTCTCTCCCTCTCTTTGCTCTGAAGTAAAATAAATTTTAAAAGTATTAGAGGCAGGCATTGTGCAGCAGGTTAAGACTACTCTTTGGAACACCAACATTCCATACTGGAGAGCCACATCTAGGTCAGCGCCTCTCCTTCTGATCCAGCTTTCTGTTAACGCACACCCGAGAGGCAGCAGACGGTGGCTCAATTGCTCGAGCCCCTTCCACTGGGCTAGAGCGTGGGCTCTGAGCTCCCATATGTGCAGGCATCTGGGAAATGAACCAGTGCCTAGAAGATCCCGCTCGCTCTCCCTCCATTCCTTGCTCTCTCCCTCTAGTCTAACTTTCAAATAAGTAAACTTAAAAGCTTGCATTATTTTTAATAGATTATTTACTCACTATTACATCAATTAATACCATAACATTGTATATTGTTGCTGATGATATGTTGGGGCTTTTGATTGATTGGGTTTTTACTCTGTTGGCTCTACCTTCAGACCAGAGAAGGTCTCCCCAAAAAGCCATTGAACTTATCTGGACAATAAGATGCTTGTCTCTATGCTTGGTATATGCTTGTAATGAAGGAATCTCAACTGAACTTGAACTGTGGTCATGCAACAAGGTGGAGGAATCCACCATGGAGGGAGGGTTATGGGAGGGGTGGTGGGAATCCCAGTACCTATAAAACTGTGTCACATAATACAATGTTATTAAAAAATTTTTAAAAAAGAAAGACCTGTACACTAACAAAGAATATGGGATTTTAAAAGAAGAAATTGCACATCTTATATTGGATAGGTAAAAATTTTTAGTAAAGATTTATTTTATTTTTACTTGAAAGGCAGAGTTAGAGAGAAAAAAGGAGAAGTCTCACCCACTGTTTCATTCCCCAAATGGCCTCAAAGACCAGAGCTGGACTTGTTCAAAAACCAGGAGACAAGATCTTCCAGTTCTCCCATGTAGATGCAGGGGCCTAAGCAGTTAGACTGTTTCCCAACGCTTTCTCAGGCTATTAGCAGTGAGCTGGATTGGAAATGGAGCATGTTACATAAGCCAAGACCCATATGGGATGCTGGTACTACAGGTGGAGGATTAGTGTGCTGTGCTGGCCCCAACAGGTAATTTTTTTTTTTTTTTTACCAGTAGGACATAAGAAAAAAGATAAAGAAAAATCAGGGAAAAGGCTTACAGAGGGTAGATATTTGGGTTAGCATTTACTATGAGGTAGGGATGCCAACATCTCAAATCAGAGTACCTGGCTCCAGCTCTCAGTTAAAGCTTCCTGCCAGTGCAGATCCTGGAAGGCTGTAGAATTTGCTCAAGTAATTTGGTCCCTGACACCCATGTTGGAGACTGGGATTAAATTCCTGACTCCCAGCTTTGGCTGTGGTCCATCCCTGACTGTTAGAGATATTTGTGTAATGAGCAAGTAGATGAAAGTGCCTGCTCTTTTTCTCCCTGCCTCGCATAAATTTTTAATCATTTATTTAGTTGAAAGAGTTACAGAGATGAGGAGACAAATATCTTCCATCTGATTGCTCACACCCTCAATGGCCACAAGGCTTAGGATGGGTCTGACTGATGCCTGGAGCCTGGAATTCCATCCATCTCTCCCATGTGCATGTCAGGGGTTCAAATACTTGGGCCATCTTCTGCTGTTTTCCCAGGCCATTAGCAGTGAGCTAGATAGGAAACAGGGCAACCAGTTCTTGGACCAGTACCCATGGGATGCTGGCATCACAGGTAGCCTAAGCTATTGTGCCACCACCTCAGCCCTATCAATTTTTTTTATGTATATGTGTGTATGTGTTTGGAATTCATAGTTAACAAAGAGAGGAGAGGCAGAGATAATCTATCTGCTGGCTCACTCCCAGTTAGTGCAATGGCCAGTAGTAGACCAGGCCAAAGGCAGGAGCCAGGAGCTTCATCTGAGTTTCCCACAAGGGTACCAGGGACCCAAATACTTATACTATCTTCTGCCACTTTTCTTAGACCCTTAGCAGGGAGCTGGATTTGAAGTGGTGTGGCCAAGAAAAGAACCAGTACTCAGCATTGTAGATTGTGACTTTAGGTACTTTGCCACAATGCTGGCCTCCAAGTTAAAAAAAAAATTAAGAAAAGACATAAGTTGAACTATAGTAAAATTAAAACTTAGTGAAAAATGACATTTATCATGAAAATGCAAACGACAAAGTAGAAGCTATTTATAATACATATATGACAATGTTTACATAAATAATGTCCTTTAGTTGTAAGTAGTCAAATTTTAACCACAATGAAAGATCACTAAAGTTCCACTAGGATAGTTAACACCAGTTACTGTTGAAGATGCGGAACAAGAGCTCTCAAACACGGCTGGTGGGAATAGTTTATGTAACTAGAAAACTCCCGGGCAGAATCTGCTAACTCTGAACATAACCATGCATTTTGCCCAGCAGTTTCATTCTCAGGCTTATTCCCAGTTGAAATATGTACGCAAACAAAAATACATTTACAAAACTTTTGATGGGCACACTATTTGTAAAGCTAAAATTAACTCATATGTCTACCAGTGTACAAAAAGAAATAATAAAATTCTGGCATATTCACTTAATGGAATATCATAAAGCAATAAGATTGAAAAAACAATTACTATATGCATCAGTGCGGTTGAATTTCCAAAAAGTAAAAAGAAATAAGATACATAAGAATAAGTACTCTGTGATTTCTAGGTAGACTTTCTAAAGGATAGAAGCAAGGCGAGTCAGTGGCGGTCGACATGTGCAGAGTGGTTACATCTGCTCGGGGCCAGTGATGAGGAGAAAGCACAAAGGTTTGCTGCGACTTGTGCTGTGTCTTGTCTAGAAGTAGTTACGAACGTGTGTTCTTCTTATGAAAATTCATTGAATGGTACATACCTGATCTGCAGTCATCTATATTGGTGCCATACTGGAATGTAAAGCTTACCAGAAAACCAAGGAAGCCGGCATTTGTAGTCATCATAATTGTTAGGCAACTTGAAACCTTAAGTGCTTAATATTTATTACTGATTTTGATAAAGTGTACTCAGTTATATGATTGAATTTTGGCATTTTCTCTGAAAACAGAAAAAAAAATTCTAGGACTTCACTGCAGTTAGTATTCTCTATCATGAAAGTGGCTTTAACCTTGTGAATTTTGAAAATATAAAACCACCAAGCTGTGTTACATGTTTCCTGTTCTTTTCCATATATCACAAACACTGACACAGGCCGACTGTGCAGGAAGATGGCGGAGATGTGATCTTCAAAGGCTTTGAAGATGGCATTGTACAGCTCAAACTCCAAGGCTCTTGTACTAACTGCCCCAGCTCTATCATTACTTTGAAGAATGGAATTCAGAACATGCTGCAGTTTTATATTCCAGAAGTGGAAGGTGTAGAACAGGTATGCCAATATTATATAAGAGTTTGAAATCACTTTTTAAAAAGAAAAAAAATTCATGTTCAGTCTTTGAGGAGTAGAACTTAGCGTTGCAGTTTTCATAGACTTGAAGCCTCCTTATTTAAAAGTACATTATAATGATAAAGAGCTTACTATGTGCAAAGAATTTGTATAAATATTATCTCAATCTTCTAATAACAGTTCAATAAGTAAGTCATTCCCATTTTCAAAAAAACACATTTATTTATCTGAAAGGCAGAGAAAAACTGAGAGAGTGAAAGAAATTTTCTATCCACAGATTCACTCCCCAAATAGCCATAACTTACAGGACAGGAGTTCCTTTTAGTGCTTCCATGTGGGTAGCAGGTATTAAAGTACGGCTGCTTCCTGGGCACACCAGTATAGAGCTGGATTGGAAGTGGCATAACCAAGACTCCACCAGAGATGCCTGTGTCTCAAACAGGAACTTAAACTGCAGTGCCATATTGCATAAGGAAACTGAGACTCATCCAGTGGCTTGATGGTAGAAAATTATGGAGAGAGGCTGGCACTGTAACTGGTTATTATACTGCCTGTGTTACTGGTGTCCCATGTGGGTACCTGTGGGTACAGCTGTTTTCAGTTCTGATTCAGCTTGCTGCTAATGTGCCTAGGAAAGCAGCAGAGGATAGTCCAAGAGGATGGGGGCCCAACCGTGTGGGCCCTGCACCCACATGGGAGACCCAGAAGAAACTCCTGGCTTCAGTCTGAGCCAGTTCTAGCTGTTGTGGTCATTTGCAGAATGAATGACTTCTCTCTGTCTCTCTCTCTTTCTGAATTCTGCCTTTCAAGTAAATATTTTTTAAAATATTAAAAGAATATTTAAAACATCATGCAGTTTTTAATTTTGAGAGAGAAAGAGAGGGCCCCCACCCGTTGTTTAATATCCAAATGCCCATCACAGCCAGTAGGCTGAAGCTGGAAGCCAGGGATGCAATCCTTGTCTCCCACATGTGAAACCAACACATGAGCTGTTACCAGCCACCTCTGGCCGCCAAAGGAAGCTGGAATCAGGAGCTGTGACTTGAACCCAGGCAACCCGCATCAGATATGTATGTTTTAACCGGGGAATTGGACCAAATGCCCACCTCCACCATGCAGGATTATCCATGAATTTTGAAAGTCTTTAGTAGAAGAGTGGAAGAGCTCCATGACATCATTTATCTTTATCTGAAAGGCAGGGAAAAACTGAGAACATACAGGTGAGATGCTCTTAAAGAATCATACTTTCTGGTACAAAATCTTACTTTGAATATTGACTAAGGTTTAGAGTTTTATCTATGGCTTGATTTCAGCATGTTTTTTCCTGCTTGCAGAAACTAGAGAACTAATGACAGCACCTTGTCAGCTCTAATAGTGAGATCATCTAACAAATGTGTGGTAATTTGAAATTTGAAAAACTCCTCAGGTCATTCAATAAGGGCTACTTGATGATCATTCATACCTGGTGGTAATAGCACCCATTTTATCAGTCCCTGCTTAGAAATAAGCTCTACTTTGATCCAAACCTTCAGCTTAGTGTTTATGAATAAGCTCGCCGAGAGACTTGACATCATAACTGGACCTTTGAAGTTCTTTGTAACAACTAGACCTGTGTCTTGCAAATGTCCTGTACATAGTTGTATTAAATGTACTTGGGGGAATATTATTGCAAATTTAGGAATAACTCTGCTAAAATAGGAGTTGACAACATTAGTTCTGTATATTACTGAGATTGGACATAAAATATTAATGTCTTGGGAGTAGGTAGGCATTTAATGCAACAGTTAAAAGACAGTTCCTGTGACAGTCACATCCCATGTCAGAATGCTAGTTTTGAGTCCTGCCTGTGCTCCTAATGGTTTAGGTTTTGCTAATGCTTAGTGTGGGAGGCAGCAGTTATTGGCTCAAGTGCTTGGGTTCCTTCCCACCCACGGGGAGACTCAGATGGAGTTTCTGGTTCCTGACTTACACTTGGCCCAGCCTCAGCTGTTGGGAGTATCTGGGCAATGAATCAACAGTTGGGAGACCTCTGTCTCTCTTTCTCTGCCTTTCAAATGACTAAATAAAAAGTTCGTTGGAACTAAATATCCATTTTTCCTGCACCTAAAACAAAAATTGTGAGATAGTTGTCTTTCACTGCTTGTCTTAGAATAAAATCCCTTTATATATTAAAAAAGAAACATTTTGTTCCACTATACTTTATACAGCTTTTAAAAAATTCTATTAGGTAACACCTTGTTGGGTTGACAAAGGGTCATTTCATATGTTCAGGGTGGAGCAAGGAATTGGCTGTCAGAGTATAAACTTGAATTAGCATTGTAATTGTAGAAGGTGTGGTGAGGAAAGAAAACATTCTTGAGTTTAGAAAGTTCTTTCCTTTTAAAGCAGTTATTATCTGAGTAATACATTAACTCATAGAAAGATATTAATCTTTAAATTTTTTCCCTTTGGGTATTCACTAGTTATTTTTAAAAAAGATTTATTCCATTTTTACTTGAAAGGCAGAGTTATAAACATAAAGAGGAACAAAGACAGAGCTCTTACATCTGCTGGATCACACCCCAGAAGGTCACAATGGCCAGAGCTGCACCATTCTGATGCCAGGTTCCGGGAGCCTCCACCAGGTCTCCCGCATTGGTCTAGCCAAGGACTTGGGTCATCTCCTGCTGCTTTCCCAGGCCATAAGCCGGGAGCTGAACTGGCACTATCTTTAAAAAAAAGATAAGAAAAAGAAACCAATGTTTAATGAACATGTAAATATTTAGATTGCTTTTACATTATTAGAATACCAGATTGTCATTCAAATTTTGTGCTTTGGGACTGTTGATTTATTTTTGTTAGATTGTCATGCATTGTTCTGGAGTAGAGTTTTTAAAGCAAACAAGTATTATGAAAGTAAGAAAAATAACAGTTTATAATCCTTTCCTTAAGTCTTAAATTCTCTTCATCTTTTGGTTTTAGGTTATGGATGATGAATCAGATGAAAAAGAAGCAAATTCATCTTAAAAGAATCTGGATTTTCTTTGGGCACAACAGCTGGACTTACAATATAGAAAAAGCTTTTATTATTAATGTGCGAAGGAACTTGAGGATGAATAAAACATGTCCTTTCTTCAGAGAATGATTATACAAGTACTGCATGTTTGCTTTTCCTCACATGAGTTATTTATAACATCCTGAATCATCTTCTGCACACGTGGACTTCATCCAGGGATCATTTTATTTTTGGTCCTCATTTCTCATGGTTTCTTCTTTGCATAATGTGTGAAACAGTTTATAATTTACTTTTTAAATACAGAATAAGGAGAATGTTCTTTAAACATTCTGAAATGGCTTGTTGTGAGATGTGTTTTTTTTTTTTACTGAAGTATTCAATGTATTAAAAACAACAATTAAACAATTGTAGTTTTAAAGTGATATCTGAGAAGTAGCTCGCAATATCATAGCACATGTAACTTCCCACTGAAAGATCATCATCATCATCATAATAGTAATGCTAAATCCCCACAAAGCCTGTTTCAACATCTGTAGAAACTGAATTGGTTTAAAGATAGTAAGTTGAGCAGCACTGCCTCGATGTGCTTAGAATCACGTGCTTCTGGGGCTTTACTTCATGGAAAGTAAAACTGAAAGAAAACTAAAAGTTTCTTTTGGTCCTTCCTCCTAACTCAGAGATCCATGCTGTTTCATGTGTGTGTGATGTTTGTAACATCCTGAGTCATCTTCTGTATACATATTTTTTTGAAAAATTTTTAATTAGAAAAATTTTAATTTGTCATACTAGTTGACCCTAATTTCTGAGACATTCAGATATCTGGACATTTTTCTTTATCCTGCTTTTTCAGACAGCCACAAAAGCAAATAAAGCTCTTCTCCTATTTCATAGTATTACAGAGACAGCTCTTGACAGAAAATCACAGGAAAGGGATGAGGGGGAAATAGCAGTGTAGCCAGCATTTCTAAAGTTTTTTAAAATTTTTAAAAAACTATTTATTTTCATTGCAAAGGCAGATTTATAGAAAGAAAGAGAGACAGAGACAAAGATCTTCCATTCATTGGTCGCTCCCTAAGTGGCCACAATGGCTGGAGCTGCACCAATCCAAAGTCAGGAACCAGGAGCTTCCTCTGTTCTGCCATGTAGATACAGGGTCCCAAGGCTTTGAGTCATTCTCAGCTGCCTTCCCAGGTCCTAAGCAAGGAGCTAGAAAGAAAATGGAACAGCCAGATCACGAACCTGGCACCTATATGGGATCCTGGTGCTTGGAGTTGGAGGATTAGCTAATTGAGTTATAGCGCTGGGCCCTGACATTCAATTTTTGAAGAATATGAAGATGAAAAGGAAAATGGAAACCTGAACAACATTAGCGGTTGTGAATGCTGGGACTGGAAAAATACCCCCCTGAGCTATGCTAGATGAATTCAGACAACAGACACAGGGGCTTGCTCTGTAAGGTAGGCACCTTCACTTGTCCTTAACTAAAGCTACAGATAATTGAGATTGTGGAAGAAATACAATGGATGAAAAGTCTTAGATATGACCATGAAATAAGTTGCTGAAATGAAAAGAGGATTCGAATGTTGTAAGAGGAAACCATGGGACTAAGAAGCCAAAGTTTTGGAAAAACTTTCAGCGAAAGGAAACTGCTGTGAAGAACGGAGGGCAGGTGGGGAAGATCCTGGGCATAAGGAGCAGTATATTCAGAATCAAGGGTGTGAAATGTGTTGAGACATGCAAGAAGCTAAGTATGGCTAGAGTGTAAGACAATGTGCTTAGTTGGAAGTGATACAGAAGTGGGCGGTGGGCAATGTGGAGAGAGTGGCAAAAACTGGGCTGCCCACCCAGCATGCACCCCCTGTTCTTACTGCAAGAGGTCCTCTTGTCAGTTTATTGCAAAGAAGGTAGGGCTCACATTATGACCCACATTGGTCACAGAGGATTAGTTCTGACTAGTTTAAAAAAATTATGTCAACTCCAGTTCTCACTGCTTGTAAATAAGTGCAGAGGTGGAAATATGACCCAGTGCTGGCCAGTGACTGTCCAGGGATATCTGTTGGAAACTTCTGAAAAGTTCTTATTTTCTGACTCAAAGAGTTAATCTCTGGAAAGAAGGCTGTTTTCCACATTCACTTCTTTCCTTCCTGCTCTCATATACTCTAGTGTAAGATGTCCAAATAAGTGACAGCCCACTTGCAATATGACAAAAAGCCTGACCACTGAGAACTTCTGTAAGGAAGAAGGGGCCTGGCTCGAGGATTTTGTTGACCTTTGAGACAGCCCGGGAGCTACTCACTTTCAGAGTTTACAGTATTGGAGATAATGTTATTTTCTATTTTATCTACTGTTGGCAGATATTCTAATTTTTTCTTAAAGATTTATTTATTATTATTATTTTTATTGGAAAGGTGGATATACAGAAAGGAGAGACAGAGAGGAAGATCTTCCGTCCGATGATTCACTCCCCAAGTGAGTGCAACGGCCGATGCTATGCCGATCTGAAGCCAGGAGCCTCTTCCAGGTCTCCCACGCAGGTGCAGGGTCCCAAAGCTTTGGGCCGTCCTCGACTGCTCTTCCGGGCCACAGGCAGGGAGCTGGAAGGGAAGCAGGGCTGCCGGGGATTAGCCCATATGGGATCCCGGGCGTGCAAGGCGAGGACCTTAACCACTTGCGCCACCGCGCCGGGCCCAATAAATAGTTTTTAAAAAGATATTAAAATCTCTGAAAAGTATATGGGATATTTTTATAAAACATTATTTCTTTTTATATAATGTATAGCATACTTTTTTTAATGTATTACTGTAAACACTTTATTAATACAGAATTCCAGCTTCCTGCTAATGTGCACCCTGGGGACAGCGATGATGGTTCAAGTACTTAAGCCCCTGCAACATGCATTCGAGTAGGGTACCAGTAGATAGAATTTCTGTCTCTACCTTTCAAATAAATAAAAACAAATGGAGGGTAGGAATTTGCTTAGTCCTTAGGATGCAGGTTGGGATGGCCACATCCTATGTTGTAATGCTTGGATCCACTTCCAATTGCAGCTTTCTGTCAGCATGTACCTTAGTGGTGTCAGCTCAAGTGATTGGGTCTCTGCCACTCACGTGGAAAACCTGGATTGAGTTCTTAACTCCTGGCTTTGGCCCCAGCACAGGCATTTGAAAAGTGAATCAGCAAACAGGAGATCTATGTCTGACTCTTTCTTTCTCTAATAGTTAAATATTTTTTTAACAACAAAAAAGAAAGAAATTAAAGCTTGGAAGATTTTTCACTAACAAAAATTAGGATGAAGGTGCCCAGTGTGGTTCAGGGTATTGATCTGCTTCCCCATTTGGGAACACTAATTTAAGTCTCAGCTGCTCCACTTCCAATCTGGCTCCCTGCTAACGCACCCAGCAAAGCAGCAGAGGATGGCCCAAATATTTAGACCCCTGTCACCTGTGTGGGAAAGCAACATGGAGTTGCAGTCTCCTGGCTTCTGCCTGGTACACTCCTAGCTCTTGCATCCATTTGGGCGTGAACCAGCAGATGGAAGATCTCTCTGTCTCTGCTTTTCCTTCTGTCATTTTTGTCACTTTGCCTTCCAAAAAAAAAAAAATCAGAATGAAACCCTATGTAATAGTAAGGCTATGTGAGACCAAAATGTATAAAAGAGCAAGCTTTCATTGATCATTTACTATATGACAAACACTGTTATAAGCATGTTACGTTTATGAATCCATATCCTGTGAAAGAGGTAACTATTGTCAGTATTTTTTATAGATTGGAAGGCACAGGGAGGAGAGGTACGTTTTTCCATTGCCATTTAGTTTATGTGGAGAAGCTGGAACCAGGAAGCCTAGAATTCTGGCCACAGACCTTCACTGCCATTACACTATCTGCTTTTAGGGATGAGGCCCCAGCACCCCTCCTGAACCTTCCTCCTTTACACAAGAGAGAAGCTTTATGGGTACTTTCTAGCGGGCAGGAGGGTACCATCTCTTACTTAATCCAGAATCACAATAGGCCAAAGGAGTTTTGTGTACTTGTGTGTCCATCTTATATTCAGGAGTATGAGGCTGGCCACTCTCCAGTGGGAATCTGGATGTACTCTGATATGGCTTACCAGCAACATAGGCAAGCCCTAACTGCTGCAAAAGCGCCTAGTCTCACACCCTACATATTTTGAATTTGTCAGTCACCATAGTTGTGTGAGTCAATTCTATAAACTTTCTCAAGAGATGCCTCTATAGAAAGGGTATTCAAAATGCTCATAGTAAATGGAATTAAAGGGGCCAAAAGCAATGGCTCAGTAGCTGAAATCCTTGGCTTGCACATGCCAGGATCCTATGTGAGTGCCAGTTCGTGTCCTAGCTGCTCCACTTCCCATCCAGCTCCCTGCTTGTGGACCGGGAAAGCAACAGAGAATGGCCTAAGCCTTGGGACCCTGCACCTGCATGAGAGACCTGGAGGAGGCTCCTGGCTCCTGGCTTCAGATCAATCTTGCTCTGGCCATTGTGGTACATGAGGAGTGAGCCAATGAATGGAGGGTCTATCCCTTATTGCTAAAGGAATGAAATTCTAGAAGGTACAAACACAAAAGGTATCCACTGCACAAGATAAGCATGGTCTGCCTGCCTCTCCACAAACCTTGGATTTGAGGACAAAGGATGATGCCAGATGGAGGCAGCACTTTCTCAGGCCTTCAGCTAAGGTGGTTTTGGATTTTCCCAGCAGGGAGAAGCTGGGACAGAGCTTTTGAGCTCTGCTAGAAACTCATTCTACTGCCAAGAAAGCCACTAAATTGAAAACCATGAGATTAACTGGCCCTATCTTTAATCCACTATCTTTGCCCAGTAAGATGTGATCAGAGCTGCCTGAATACCATGGAAAACACATTATCCCTTTCCCAAGAGAGGACACATAGTCCATGGATGATGTATATTCTTTTTCTTGACATTCTGTAAGTACTGTGGTGTTACTGCAACAGTATATCAGGGGCAGGTGTAGTGGTGTAATGGATTAAGTCATTATTTGAACTGCTCACATCCCATTTCAGAGGGCCTGTTCCAGTTCGGGCTAGCCTGTTTCTAGCAGGAAGCTAGCCTGCTTCCTGCTCACGTACCTGGAAAAGCAGGGGATGATGGCTTAAGTGCTTGGAACCCTGTCACCCATTTGGAAGACAGATGTGAGCTCTCTTTTTCTGCCATTATCTCTTAACTAATGATTTTTATAAAAGGTAAGCTTATTTTGGTGTAAAAATTTTTGAAACCATACAGAATTCTTTCATAATACACATTTTCCATGAACTTTTTGAAGTTCCTTCTTATTCCCGATTATCTTTGTC